TGGGATTGGAACCGGGAATGGGGAGTGGGATTGGAACTGGGATTGGGGTGCCAGGGCACCAGGAATGGGGGTGCAGGATTGGCACCTGGGTGTGGGGATTTGGGAATTGGCACCCACGCTTGGGAACTGGCACCCAGGTTTGGGAATTGGCACCCAGGTGTGGAGGCTGGCACTCCGGATTTGGGGATTGGCACCCCAGATTTGGGGATTTACACCCCGGATTTGGGGATTGGCACCCTGGATTTGGTGATTTACACCCAGGTTTGGGGATTCACACCCAGATTTGGGGATTGGCACCCCAGGGGAGGGGCGGCACCGCCGGTGCTCCGGTGCTTCCCGATCCTCACAGCCCAGAGCACCAGAGGGAGCCGAGCAGGGAAAATCCACAGCCCCGAGCTGCTGGAGAGCCCAAAGCCCTGGAGAGGGAAAATCCAAACCCCAGAGAGGGAAAATCCAAACCCTGGAGAGGGAAAATCCAAACCCTCAGAGAGGGGAAATCCAAACCCTGGAGAGGGAAAATCCAAACCCTCAGAGAGGGGAAATCCAAACCCCAGAGAGGGAAAATCCAAACCCTCAGAGAGGGAAAATCCAAACATTTCCGGTGAGAAGAACCCAAACCCTGGAGTGGGGAAATCCAAACTCTTGGAGAGGGAAGGATCCAAAGTGTTGGAGAGGGAAGAATCCAAAACCTTGGAGAGAGAAGGATCCAGACCCTTGGAATGGGAAAATCCAAACATTTTCAGTGAGAAGGATCCAGACCCTTGGAGCAGAAAGAATCCAAACTCTGGAGTGGGAAAATCCAAACCCTTGGAGAGGGAAAAGCCAAACTCCTGGGGAGGGAAAAACCCAACGCAGCTGGAGGAGGCCGACACCGTTCAATTCCCAAGGCCCCATCCAGCCCTTCCTGCCCCCCCAAACCCAGGTGTGGCCAGGCCAGGATCTCCCATCCCGCTGGATCTCCATGGAAAGCAGCCCTGATCCCACTGGATCTCCATGGAAATCAGTTCCCATCCTGGATCTCCACGGAAAGCAGCTCTGATCCCACTGGATCTCCATGGAAAGCAGCCCTGATCCCGCTGGATCTCCAAGGAAATCAGTTCCCATCCTGGATCTCCATGGAAAGCAGCTCTGATCCCACTGGATCTCCACGGAAAGCAGCTCTGATCCTGCTGGATCTCCAAGAAAATCAGTTCCCATCCTGGATCTCCATGGAAAGCAGCTCTGATCCCACTGGATCTCCACGGAAAGCAGCTCTGATCCCGCTGGATCTCCATGGAAAGCAGCTCTGATCCCGCTGGATCTCCAAGGAAAGCAGTTCCCATCCTGGATCTCCATGGAAAGCAGCTCTGATCCCGCTGGATCTCCAAGGAAATCAGTTCCCATCCCGGATCTCCATGGAAAGCAGCTCTGATCCCACTGGATCTCCATGGAAAGCAGTTCCCATCCCGCTGGATCTCCATGGAAATCAGTTCCCATCCTGGATCTCCACGGAAAGCAGCTCTGATCCCACTGGATCTCCATGGAAAGCAGCTCTGATCCCGCTGGATCTCCATGGAAATCAGTTCCCATCCTGGATCTCCACGGAAAGCAGCTCTGATCCCACTGGATCTCCATGGAAAGCAGCTCTGATCCCGCTGGATCTCCACGGAAAGCAGCTCTGATCCCGCTGGATCTCCATGGAAAGCAGTTCCCATCCTGGATCTCCACGGAAAGCAGCTCTGATCCCACTGGATCTCCAAGAAAATCAGTTCCCATCCTGGATCTCCAAGGAAAGCAGCTCTGATCCCGCTGGATCTCCAAGGAAAGCAGTTCCCATCCTGGATCTCCAAGGAAAGCAGCTCTGATCCCGCTGGATCTCCAAGAAAATCAGTTCCCATCCCACTGGATCTTCATGGAAAGCAGCTCTGATCCCGCTGGACACTCTGGGATCAGCTCCGGGATCAGCTCCGGGATCAGCTCCGGGATCGGCTCCTCCTGCTGCGTTCTCTTCATTCACCAAAGGCACCACTGGGGCTCCAAAGTGACACTGGAATGTGACAATTCCTCCCCAAAACTCCTGTGGGATGCCCAGGAAATCTGCCCCCCGAGGATTTCAGGCAGCTCTTCCTGGAATTCCATCAAAAAATCCGTGTCCGGGGTGGAAATTCCGGCTGGAAATCCTGGAGTGCGAGGAAACCAAACCATCTTCACCTCGGAGGGCACAGGGAGGAACTTCTGGGGATGTTTTTGGGATGTTTGGGGTTTTTGGGATATCTCCACGTCCCAGCCCACCAGGAGGAAGGGCTGGGCGCTGATTAATTAACAAATTAATTAACTCTGCTCCTTCTCTGAATCTCTGCAGGTCTGGCAATTCTGGTGCAGGGAATCCTGCTGGAATTCCCCTCTTGGGAGGGGGAAAAAAAACCTCCTAGGGAGCAGAGAAATCCCAGGGAATGATCCCAAATCCTCGGATTTTCAGCGGGACGAGCCCTGGAGGGGTCAGGGCTACCAGGGAATTTAAGGATTAAAGCACCCAGCTCCAGGTGACGACAGAAATTCCCTGCGGGTGCTGCCTGGGGCAGATGGAAAAGCAGAAATCTCCTGGAAAAACAGATCCATTCCATCCCTGGGATGAAAATCCGGGAGGAGCCAGCCCTGCTTTTCGTTTCCATCCAACACCAAACCGTTTTTATTCCGGGATAAAGCTCCCCCTTGGCACATTTAACCCCGAATTAAGGAAAATTTCAGGTTTTTCCCCTCCATCCTGTTGGCAATGGGAATAAAAACACATCAGCTGCGCTGGAAATCACATCCCAAAGGTCAGGACAGAACAAGGATTGCTGGATTTATTCCTGGATGTTGAGGATCTGAAGGTGACTCCCAGTGCTGCTGGCCCTGGGAAGTTTCTGGAATTCCTCTGGATTTAAACCGTAATTTCCATAATTTCTCCTTTTCCTATCACCGCTGGACACTTGTGGATGGATACAGGGATATTTCTCCGTTCTATGTGTTCAAAATATTCAGGAATTGCTGCTTAAATTTTAATTTTAATTCCTGCTTTAATCCCTTTGAATTTTATGCTGTGAACGAACCCCCTCCACGCTGGGGCATCTCTTAAATTCCCATTTAAATCTTCCCCCGCCGCACTGAACTTTTAAAATATTTATTTCAAAAGACGCAAAAAATTAAATTTGTATTAATAAATCCTTCCTTGAGCTGAAACACAAGGGAGAAAAAAAAAAATAAAACCAACCCAAAAAACCAACCCAGAGTTACACAGAGCTGGGAAAAGAGAAATTGCAAGAAATATTCCCCATCTCCCACACAGTGGGAGCTGAGGATCAACCCAGCTCAGCACTGAAATCAAACAAACAATGAAAAATATTCAATTATTGTGCTCAAACTCTCACACACACACACAAAAAAAAAAATCCCCTCCTCGCCCTACGAATTCCAGCTGCACAAAATTCCAAGCGGGAGGATTTTGGGAGGAGGTGGGTGGGAACGAGGCTAAAAAAGCAGATTTTGGGGTGCTGGAGAGAGCAGCAGAGCCCGATCCCGAGGGATCGGAAAGCCGGGAGCGCTTCCCAGAAGTTCCCAGTTAGTTAAAAGTTCCCAGGGAGTTAAAAAATGAGATTTTGGTTCTTCAGGGAGATCTGCTGGGGTTTCGGGGCAGGCTCGGGGTGCGGGTGCGGAATTCCGAGCCCTTCCCAAACTCCGGGAATTCCCTTTGCCTCGTGGCCTCGGAAGGGTTTAAATCCCATTCCAATCTCACGGATCTCCCATTCCAGGGAATCCCTGGGATTCTGCTTCCCCAGGAACCTCAGCTGGCCCCCGGAACCCCGGGAACTGGGAATGCAGTGGGAGCTGTGAGGAGGAGGAGGACGAGGAGGAAGAGGAGGACGAGGACGACGAGGACGAGGACGAGGATGAGGACGACGAGGAGGAGGAGGAGGACGAGGAGGAGGAGGAGGAAGAGGAGGAAGAGGAGGAGGAGGACGACGAGGACGAGGACGAGGATGAGGACGACGAGGAGGAGGAGGAGGACGAGGAGGAGGAGGAGGAAGAGGAGGAAGAGGAGGAGGAGGACGACGAGGACGAGGACGAGGATGAGGACGACGAGGAGGAGGAGGAGGACGAGGAGGAGGAGGAGGAAGAGGAGGAGGAGGAAGACGAGGAGGATTTACCACGAAACTTCACATTTTTGGGACCGGCTACTCCAGGCTCCGACCCTGCCAAAGGAGCTCCGTGTTCCCAACTCACAGCTTACTCCTGGAGTACCAGCTCACAGCAGCTGAGCACTCTTTTCCCTGCCATTCCCTCCTTTTGGGACACCCCAAAATGTGGGATAAGGCAGAGCCCGGGCCCGGCTCAGCACCCGGGGCCGCGCAAAAAGAGATTTTTTTCCCCCTGTGAAGCGTCCAGCAGCCGGATCCAGGCGTGGGGACCTGGCCAGCAGGCGAGCACACCTACCTGGATGTTTTTTTCACAGTCAGTTTGCTGGTGGAGGGACAGCTCACTCTCTAGCACAAATTTCTTCCCACATTTGTCGCAGATCTGCATCCGCCTGTGGGTGACGTTCATGTGCTTCTCCAGGTACCAGCGTGTGTTAAACACCCTGGGGCACTTCTCACAGGTCAGAGTCTCCTTCTCCTCGCACTTGGCTTTCTGCACAGGCGCCTTGGGCTCCTTTGCAGCTTTCTTCTTCCTCTTGGGGGGCTCCGCGCTCTTCCTGCGGCCCCGCGTCGCTCGGGGCGCCGGCGAGGCGGCGGCGGCCGCGGCGGAGGCGGCTCTCCTGCTTCTCCTCTGGCCAACGCTAACCTTCTCCACTCTTTTCTCCTTCTTCTTCTGCCTCTCGTTCTCCTCGTAATCGTTACTGTCTTCCGTGGCCTCTTCCCCACTGTCACCCTCCTCTTCCTCACTGCTGCTCTTAAGGACAGCAGTCTCTTTGGACTGGGAGGGGACACCCTTCTCCCCTTTGGACACATTTAAGGTTTGGTTGTTAAGGTTTACCTCCACTATAATCTGCTCCCTTTTGTAAGTCACTTCATCTTCCTCCTCTTCCTCCTCCTCAGAGTCGTCAGAGTTTTCCCTGTCTTCTTTCACAGCCCGGACCTCTCCTACCGCTCTGCTCTCCCTGAAAAACGGCTGCTCCTCCCTCTCGTGGAGGTGGCCTTTGCTCACTTTGCTGTCCACCAGCACCGAGAAGGGGCTCCCTGACTCCCTCTTGTACACCTTGGTGGACAGGTCCAGCTCCTGGCCGGGGTAGAAGGCAGGCGGCCCCTCCTGCGCCATGCCGGCCCCGGGGGGCTCGCCCTTGGCTGCCTGGCTCATCTGGGGGGGCTCATGGGGCGCCCTCCGGCCCGCGGGGCTGCGGCTCGGGGCGGCTGCTGCGGCCCGGCGCCTCTTCCATCGGAGCCCGGCGGCCTCGGGGGTCCTGGAGGGGCTGGAGCGGGGTCGGGATCACGGCAGGGGCAGGGCGGGGAGGGATCTTCGGCAGGAAGCGGAGCCCTCGAGCATTTTATCTGCAAGAGACAATGGAGAGCGGTCAGGGGATCATCCATGGGGTCAGGAGATCATTCATGGGGTCAGGGGATCATCCATGGGGTCAGGGGATCATCCATGGGGTCAGGGGATCATCCATGGGGTCAGGGGATCATCCATGGGGTCAGGAGAGCATCCATGGGGTCAGGGGATCATCCATGGGGCCAGGGGATCATTCAGGGGATCAGGAGAGCATCCATGGGGACAGGGGATCATCCATGGGGTCAGGGGATCATCACTGGGTTACTGGGATCAGGAGATCACCACTGGGATCAGCAGATCACCCCTGGGATCCAGGCAGGCTCGGGATTTGTGGGGCTGGGGAAAGCCCGCGGGTGTTTTCCAGGAGGAGCCAAGGCTGGGCGGGGTGGGAAAGGCAGGGACAGGCAGCAGGGAGCAGGAGAATTCCCAGGGAGTGGAAATCCAGGCAGGGAATTCTCTCCACCCAGCCCAGCAGCTCCTCTCCCACAGCCACGGGGCACCCCAAAAACCCCCCCAGGCTCCCCCAGCCCCCCCTGGCTTATTCCAGAGCCGCATCCCGAACGCGGAGCCAGGAATCTCCAACCTCGCAGCGCTAAACCCGCAACGCCCCAGAGACCCCGGACTCGGAGGGATTTGAGGAATTCTTCCCCCAGCTCCCAAATCCCCACGGCACGGCATCGCTTTGCCCATCCGCGCTTCCCACGCCGTTTTCCAAGCTGGAATTTGCTTCCTGCAGGAAGCGCCACGCGGTCCCTCATGGACACAGGGCAATCAATCCCCCACATTCCTCTTGTTTCCAGAGGGACAATTCCAGCTTGGGATGGGCTGATCCCATCAGGAGCAGCCTGGGAATCCCGGAGCTAAACCTGGAGTTAAAGCCGGGATCAGAGGGTGCAGGGAAGGAGAACTGGGGATGGAGACACCCCAGAATGGGATGGGAGGGACATCAAATCCCATCAAACCCCATCAAATCCCATCAAATCCCATCAAATCCCATCAAATCCCATCAAACCCCATCAAACCCCATCAAATCCCATCCAGGGACACCTTCCCTGATCCCAGCCTGGCCTGGGACACTTCCAGGGATAGAATTCCCCAACTTCCCAGGGAATTCCTTCCCAATATCCCACCCAATCCTCCTCTCTTCCAGAGATTCCTGTATTATCATTTTTGTCCCACCAGAATTTCCCCCTGCTTTGGAGGGAATTTTAACTGAACAGGAGATGAACCAACCGCTGCCTGAATAATTAATATTAATTATTAATAATAAAGAGAACCTTTGTGAAGTGCCACACCGGGGAAAGAATGGAAAAAAAAAAAACCCAGTTTGATTACAAACTTCATTAAAACAGCTTCCTGAGCACTTCTCCGGGGCTTCCAAATTATTCCAAATATAAAATGAACCGGTTTTGTCCAGCTGGAATTCCCAGTCTATGCCCAGGAAGCCTTGGGAAGGATGGATCCCATTGCAGCTTTTCCTTGGAGTGGGATGAATTATTCAGGAGTTCAGAAAATTCCCTGTTCCACGTAGAAAACACCTGATTTATTTCCTCATCATATTAAACATCTCTAGGAGGCTGCAGGAGGAAATCCGGAATTCCACTGCAGAGCCAGGAAAGCACAAAAAATTTGGGCAGGAAAAGGAGATTGTGAAAATTCCTGCCGATATTTCACCTCTGCTCACTGAAAGGGTATTTATTATGTGTAAAAAAATCCTTTTTTATCAACAGGTACCACCTCAAACCAAGGCCACAGTGGGGTTTATTCTGAATTATCAAAGATGTTTGCTCCAAACCTTTCACTGCCTCCCTCGAGGGACCCACAACTTTCCAAAACATTATTTAAATAAAAAACAAAACCCTCCTCAGCCATTTAGTCCAAACAACAGCTGTGAAATACTGCCCAAAAAAGCTCTTAAAACACTTTCCCCGCCCTGCTTTTAAATTTCTAATCCCAAAGCAGCGTTTGGGTGTTTTAAATCCCAAAACACCAAAGCGTTTTTTGTTGTTTTAAAGGTGAATTTAATTTAATCAAGGCTGATTTTTCCACAGAACAAATCCCCGGTCACGCTGCCAAAGGAGAGATGAAGGCGTTGATTAAGATGTAAAAAGGAAACAAAAGTTTCAAAGCGATTTTTGATGCTTATCAAGCCCCAAACCTGGGGAATATCTGCAGAACCAAGCCGAGCAATCAAAGCTTTGCGAGGTCTCCGACATGAAAAGCTCCAACTCTGAAGAAATAAAAGCACAATTTGCAGACAAAAGAGTGGGTGGAGGAAGCTGGTGAGTGTGTGGGAGCAACTTCACACCGAGATTCTGAAGAAAAACCGCATTTTTTGGTGTTTATCGGCGCTAAAAATAGAGAGATTTGAGCTCGGCTGGGCAGGCCTCAGGCCCGGCCCGGGTTGGGCTCGGCCCGAAGGAAAAGCTGAGGAAAAACTGAGGGAAAAGTGGAAAAAACCTGAGGAAAACCAGAATTTCAGAAGGTGAGGATGTAAGGGAAAAGGGAGTTGTGGAAAAACGGGGGTGTGAGGAAAAGCTGAGGAAAAACTGAGGGTGTGAGAGAAAAACTGGGGAGAAAACTGAGGGGATGTGAGGGAAAACTGAGGGTGTGAGGGGAAAATTGAGGAAAAACTGAGGAAAAATTGAGGAAAAACTGAGGAAAAACTGAGGAAAAACTGAGGAAAAACTGAGGGTGTGAGGGGAAAATTGAGGAAAAACTGAGGAAAAATTGAGGAAAAACTGAGGGTGTGAGGGGAAAATTGAGGAAAAACTGAGGAAAAACTGAGGAAAAATTGAGGGTGTGAGGGGAAAATTGAGGAAAAATTGAGGAAAAACTGAGGGTGTGAGGGAAAAATTGAGGAAAAACTGAGGGTGTGAGGGAAAATTTAAGGGAAAACTGACTGAGGATGCGAGAAAAACTGAGGATTTCAGGAAAAGCTGAGGACGTGAGGAAAAACTGGGGAAAATCTGATTGAGGATGAGAGGGAAAATTGAGAATTTCAGGAGAAGCTGAGGACTTGAGGAAAAGCTGAGGGTGTGAGGGGAAAACTGCGGATTTGAGGAAAAACTGAGGGTGTGAGGGGAAAATTGAGGATTTGAGGAAAAACTGAGGGTGTGAGGATGTTTTCCCACTGAAACTCTGAAATCCCCAGGTCATGTGAATTCTGAAGAATTAACCAGCAGGGAAAAACTACAGATTGCACCGGGAAAACACAAAGTGAGGTCTAAAAATGACATTTTTGGGGTGTCCCGTGCAGGAATTGGATTCAAACCCTGAGGGTCCCCTTATCAGGATATTCCACAATTCCATAACAGCTCAATAAATCTGCAACAAATTTTATTTGCAATAAAAAAGCCTCAATAAACTCTCCCAGTTGGAAGCACAGGTGCCTGGAAAGGCCCAGCCTTTCCCAAAGAGTGGGAAAACATATCTGAAGGGAATTATTTCAATTATTCCCCTCAGCCCCCAATCCCTTCTTTCTTGTGCATTTCAGCTGCTTTAGGTGCAAAAAAAATCCCTGAAAATCTGTTTTTAAGAGGGGAGGTTTTATCTCCCAGAGCCTCACTCTGGCACATCCCGAATTTTGCATTTCCATGGGAAGTGCTGGAGCTGCCTGAGCCCATGGAAATGCAAAATAAATGCAAAATAAATGCAAATGAAAAGCAAAATAAAGCGCTGAGTGCTGCTAACGACCCTATTCCCATTCCCAAACCCACTCCCAAACCTCGGGACCCACCTGAGCCTCAAAAATCCTCAGGAAAATAATCCTGAAAGGGAATCAGGGAAGAGAAATCCCATTTTTTGCACCCAGCAGGAGGGGATTTGGGAGCAGCATTCCCAATTCCTGCGGAAAACCGGGAAATCAGAACTCTCCTGTGGCTGCCAGCCCCGAATTCCCTGGGAAAAGCTTTTCCTTCAGTTCCAGAGAGCCTGGGCAGGGACACAAAACCCTGGAGAAAGAGGGAATAAATCCCGACTTCTGGAATTCCAGGGCTGGGCAGAGCTCCCACCTCACCTGAGCCTTTTTCCCAGCTTTTTCCTGAGCATTCCTGGAATAATCCAGGATTAGGTGCAGGAGAGGGAACGGGGGATAAATCCTGAGAGTTCTGCAATTCCAGAGCTCCCACCTCATCCCGCTGCTTTTCCAGCTGGATTTCGAATTCCCAAAATAACTCCGGCATGGGGATTTTGCTGACTCAGCAGGCAACACTTGAATTATTGTTATTTTTTCCCCCCCTCTCCCTTGTCCTGGGAGCTGGGAATTTCCCTCCAAGTGTTCCACAGGCTCCTGGAAAAATCACATTCCCAAATCCCAGGGGAAAAAAAATTATATCTACAGAACGCTGCCACTGGAACAGAAAAACCACGAGGAAGAACCCCCAGGCTTTTCCCATTTTTCGGGAGGAATGATCTGGCTGCATCCGGATTTTTGGGAGACACAAAGCCCTTTCCGACCAGCGATTCCTGGATTTTTTTCAAGCATTATCTCCATGAAAAATACATTCCAGAGGTTTCCATTTGGGAATTCAGCATTTAAATCCCTCGGATTTTGCAATAAATGAGGGTTGGGGTTTTTTTGTTGAATCTAAGAACAGCCACAAACTCAATGTTTTTTCCTCGAAGTAGAAAAAAAAAGCTTTTAAAATAACTTTTAGTTCTTTACCCTCAAATCACAACTCCAGGCCCTTCCCACCGCCTGAAGTATTTAAAAATTGAAAATTTTGGAATTACGAAATTCCAGGTATTCCAATCTATTCCTGCATATTTTTTTGGAAAAAAAAACCAAACTGAAAATAAGATTAAAACACTCCCAGGTGGTTCCCTGGTTCACATTTTCCATTTATCACTTCTGAATCAATATTTCACTATTTTTAGACAAAAAAAAAAGCTATTTATGACCACACTACAAGGTCTTTGGACCCTTTAGAATTGTAAAATTGTCCAAATAGGCGCCAAAATTCCTTTTTTTCCTTTAAAATCTCTTATTTTCACTCTG